TGACAGGTACGAGGTGGTATCTCATTGTGGTTTTGATTTATTTCCCTGATGATGAGTGATGTTGAGCATCTTTTCATGTGTCTGTTGGCCATCTGGATGTCTTCTTTAGAAAAATGTCTATTCATGTCTTTTGCCCATTTGTTAACTGGATTATTTGTTTTTTGGGTGTCGAATTTGATAAGTTCTTTATAGATTTTGGATACTAACCCTTTATCAGATATGTCATTTGCAAATATCTTCTCCCATTCTGTGGGCTGCCTTTTAGTTTTGTTGATTGTTTCCTTTGCTGTAGAGAAACCTTTTATCTTGATGAAGTCCCAGTAGTTCATTTTTTGCTTTTGTTTCCCTTGCCTCTGGAGATGTGTCTAGTAAGAAGTTGCTATGGCCAAGGTCAGAGAGGTTGCTGCCTCTGTTCTCCTCTAGGAGTTTGTTGGTTTCCTATCTCACATTTAGGTCTTTCATCCATTTTTAATTTATTTTTGTGTATAGTGTAAGAAAGTGGTAGTTTCATTCGTCTACATGTTGCTGTCCAGTTTTTCCAACACCATTTGTTGAAGAGACTGTCTTTTTTCCATTGGATATTCTTTCCTGCTTTGTCAAAGATTAGTTGACTATATAATTGTTGGTCCATTTCTTGGTTTTCTATTTTGTTCCATTGATTTATGTGTCTGTTTTTGTGCCAGTACCATACTATCTTGATGACTAGAGCTTCAGCAATCAGACGACAAAAAGAAATAAAAAGCATCCAAATTGGCAATAAAGAAGTAAAATTATCACTATTTGCAGATGACATGATACTCTGTGTAGAAAACCCAAAAGACTCTACCAAAAATTTGCTAGAACTGACACACAAATTCAGCAAAGTTGCAGGATATAAAATCAACATACAGAAATCTGTTGCATTTCTATACACTAAAAATGAAGAAGCAGAAAGAGAAATCAAGGAATCGATACCATTCACAGTTGAACCAAAAACCATAAGACACCTAGGAATAAATCTAACCAAAGAGGTAAAAGATCTCTACACTCTGAAAACCATAGAACACTTAGTAAAGAAATTGAGGATGACACAAAGAAATGGAGAAACGTTCCATACTCACAGATTGGAAGAGCAAATATTGTTAAAATGTCTATACTACCCAAAGCAGTCTACACATTTAATTCAGTCCCTATCAAAATACCCCTAGCATTTTTTCACAGAGCTAGAACAAACAATCCTAATTTTGTATGGAACCACAAAAGACCCTGCATAGCCAAAGCAATCTTGAAAAAGAAAAAGTGGGAGCATCACAACTCTGGACTTCAAGTTATATTACAAAGTCGTTGGCCAGTTTTAACTTTTTAATCCTGTTGGTCAAATATTTCCCTTCCCTGTGCTTAGATGCTCATTTTCTTAATGAATTAATTTCTATGCTCCACATGAGGTAGAGGATTAGGTCTTCTTATGTTACTTTGTGGTCTGAGAATGCTTTGATGAAAAATGTAGATCATGATACCAGATATTTTCTTATACATATACCTCAAGGGAAATACTATTGAATATAAATTTAAAAAGAAAACAGATTTCAGAGTAGATACCAAATCTGGAGGCTGTTTTATTGGCAAGTCCTCTGCATTTAAAGGTTGTATTAATATATGTGCTCATATTAACTAGGCTAATAGACCACAAAGAAGCAATACATATCTTTAGATAGGCCTGTAGAAGAAGTGTTGCCTTTTGTGCTTGTCTATAACCTTCCAGAGTATAATAATTGCTAAAGAGTAGTCTAATTATAGTAGCATAACACAAAAGATTAAAACAAAAAAGCCCTGTATAAATAGTGTGGCAACAAATTTTTCAAATATACCCCAGAAACTAAATTTAGAAGAGTGATTTTTCTAGATAGAGTACTTATGTTTTGGGAAAAGCTCATTGTAGACTCTGGCATTATGAGATATATCTATAAGCATTTTTGCCCTCAATGATCCTTAGAGTTTTCATGAATCTCCTTCAGGCCCAACAAAGGGAATAAGTGAATGTTGGTGAATACCTACGTTTTTTGACCTGGTAGGCTCTAGAGATAATCTCTGTGTTTAGTTTAATGTTAAGGTAAACTTGGCATTCTACCTTTTTCTTTCTTTTTTTTTAACTATTTTTCTGACCCTGGAGCATTGCTTGCTGATGAAGCAGATCTTTGGGCCATTCCTTATATTTATAGGGGCCTTTAAGAATAGTCTTGAACTGATAGAGAGCCATTGTTATGTTCCTTTTGGATACCCTGTAACTGACTAAAGTTACTTTGATTATTTTTTTCTATAGTAGGCATTCAGTAAATTTTTTTTAAGATTTTATTTATTTGAGAGAGAGAGTGTGCATTTGAGAGAGTGAGTGTGCACGTGTGCACCAGCAAGCACCATCGGGGGAGGGGCAGGGGGAGAGGGAGAAGCAGACTCCCCTCTGAGCAGGGAGCCTGACAGGGGCTGGATCCCAGGACTCTGGGATCATGACCTGAGCTGAAGGCAGACACTTAACTGACTGAGCCACAGGCACCCCTTGAATAAATATTTTTTAATAAGTACATGAAAATAAATGTTTTCTTATGTACTTACAGATTTTATTCTCTAGTCTTATCTTTAGGATTTTATCAATCTAAACGGGGAGAGATTTTGCTACACTTAGAAAACTACATTTTCTCACCTTGACAGTGCTTTTTCTCTCCTAACAATATATAGCATCACTTATTTCATGCTTATTTTTTTTAAGTTTATTTATTGTTTTTTGTAATCTCTACACCCAAAGTGGGGCTCAAACTCAGGACCCTGAGATCAAGAGTCGCTTGCTCTTCTGACTTAGCCAGCCAGGTGCCCCTTATCTTTATTTTATACATAATCCTACATATTTGTCACTTCTTATGTTATGCTAAATTTTGCATTTTTATGCTTTTTAGTATTTCTCTTATCTACTTTCTCTCTCATCCTATGGCTATATCTTTTGCCTAGATTATAGTATTGTATGCCTTGCACCTTGACCAAATGTTTGAGAACTTCTTTCTTATTCCTTTACAAATGCTCTCCATATTTATAAAGGATGTATATACAGTATTAGGATATTTATAGTATAGTGAAGGAAATTATAGAACTTTAGCTGGAGAGAATTTTAACAATTGTCTAGTCTAGCTTTTTTCTTCATGAGTGAGACTGATGATGCTTAGAGAAATAAGCACAGTTTTCCAGTGTCCCCACGTATACATGGTTTTCCACTTTGCACTTTGGGGGTTTACTTGATTTGGAACAGTATCTTGGCAAAGGCGTTTCAGAAGCTGGCTGACAGATTGAAGATTTAGATGGTAGAAAATAATTCATGGTTCAAATGTTTGAGAATTCTAGAAAAACTGAGAGGCAGCAGGAATTATTTTGAAAGGTAGGGCAAGTGTGCTTGAGAGTAATGGCAGCAAAGGGGAAGGCCTTGGAAAGGGATGGCAACAATGGAGGCAGGATAACCTGAGACCAGGGGATAAATTGCCCTCATATGTCTATTTGTTTAGTTGTCTGTGTTCTTTGTACTTGTTATCAGTTTTAGAGTTTACCTTCTTAGAAGGAAGGGCCTGAGTCCCATTCATGGACCTAATAGTATCTAAACATGAATAATAGGGGTTGGGGAAATGATTTTAATGTCATGATGAACAAGAAGACATAAACCTCTTTTTTTTTTTTAAAGATTTTATTTATTTATTTGACAGAGAGAGAGAGACAGCGAGAGAGGGAACACAAGCAGGGGGAGTGGGAGAGGGAGAAGCAGGCTTCCCGCTGAGCAGGAAGCCCGATGTGGGACTCGATCCCAGGACCCTGGGATCATGACCTGAGCCGAAGGCAGACGCTTAACGACTGAGCCACCCAGGCGCCCAAACCTCTTTTTTGAACACTATTGTGTGCTATGCACTTTCATGTAAATTATTTCAAAGACAGGATGCAATCAACTCAAACATTCAAAAATCCAATTTTCATTCTTTTACTTCATTGATTTCAAGTATCTTCACCAGAAGGCTAGCAACAAAGGAAAGGCTGTGGAGTTCATGTTATTCAGAAATTGCCATCATAGAGCTGGGGTCTGGAAGGAAGTAAATTCAGGAGCTCAGAGGAGTCCCTGTGGATTTCCTTTACACATATTGCTATGTATCTTGTAGGATAAATGTTGTACTCTCTTTGGAGGCATAAGCACCACTAACAGAAGAATTCAGGGCTAACATCTCTATGCACAGAGTAACAGAATTAGGGTTGTCATTTTAAGGTAAGTTTTAATGTTGTTCTTGTTTAATTGGGGTTTTTAAACAATTTTTCCCCCTGTGCTCTTGTCAGAAACCACCTTTTTGATCGGATCAAGTTGGAATACTTTTCAGAGTTAAACATTAAAGATACAGATTTTGGTCAGTGTTTTTTAACACTTTGTAATTCTTTTTGGACTAAGAATAGTTGTAATGCAAACCTTTTTTAATGTTAATACCATCTTTTTATTCTAGTCTAGTTACTTATATGCTACTGAGGAATTCAGGGTATCAGTACCAAGGAAAAGAGAAAAATTGCCTGTGTATATTTAATGAAATGTTTCAGAGATATATAGACTGTATATCTCATTGACAGGATTTAAATAAAAATATGAAAAAGATTCAAATCAAAATAAATTGATTGTGCCTGTTTTGATAAGAAATGAAACTGTGTTTTCAGTTTGGATATTTTTCTGTCCTGGATTACAATTTGGGAATTTATATTCTATGTAGGACTTTCCATATTTAAGATACTTCTGATGATTGGGAATATTTTTGATGTAAAAATCGTATTCATATTTTATTACAAAGGTGTGCAAGATTGCCTTATGAAAGGTTAATTTTTAAAAAAGGCTAGCATAGATTATCCCCTTAAGAAATCAGCACACCTCTGGAAGAAATCTAGTTTTGGTAAATGACAGCTCTAGGCATGTATTTTCTTATTCTCATAGGCATTTTCTTTTCATTTTTGTATTTCAGAGTAAGCGAGGAAAAGGAAGTGACCGAAGAACGATTCCGAGCTGAGCAGGAATCATTTGAGAAGAAGATCAGGCAGTTGGAAGAACAGAATGATCTGATCATCAAAGAAAGGGAAGATATCCTTTTTGAAAGTCCCCTGTTTTTAATGTGCAAGAAGTTTGGCTCTTCCATGAAGAAAATGTAAACTCCAGAGAAATAATTGTTCTAATTTATAACGGAATAAATCTGCGTGGGCTGCCATTTTTAGGCAATCAAAACGACACTTAACAGCATGTGCTGTTACTTCCTTTGTGCTTGATATGGCCACCCAGCTGTTCTGCTGCCGCTATTATACTGCGGAGCACATATTTGTCAACTAAAAAAGACAATAAGAAATTTGGGCATTAAAATGTAGTGTTGGAGCTTTACTAAATTCCGTTCCACTACTCTAATTGAGCCTGAAACCTCTTTGTATTTGGCATTCTTTCTAGCTAAAGCTTTGACAGCCTAAGGAATTCTACTCTGAAAATCATAAAAATTAAAAAAAAATCCATTGTAATTTGTAGATGTTATAATTGATAAGTGTTTACATTACAACATAATACCACCAAAATTCTCATGGAGGAGAAGACTGTTGGGTTTAGAACTAGAGAGAGAGGTGTGTGTGTGTGTGTGTGTGTGTGTGTGTGTGTGTGTGTGTGTGTGTGTTATGTTGCATTATTTGTAAGAAAGTAAAATAAAAACTGGTATTTTAACTTAAGACTTCATTACCCATTAAGGGATACGCGAGTTACAATAAGTGTATTTCTGAAGTTTCTTTTGACTGAGCTACTTATCTTTGGATGTTTTTGCAGTGGTATTGATATAAAAGAGAAGTGACTGTCCCTAAAGTTAGGGTGAGGATTGGCCAGCTAACCTAGTATATGAATACTTGAAGGAACCAGTGCCCTTATTGGCAATATCATCATTAACTTCATTAATAATTATTTCAAAGGTTCTTCGAGTGTTAAAAATGATCATACATGGACAATAACTATACATTTGTGAATACCAGGGAAATAGAAACATAAAGGTAAATTAAGTCACTTGGGAAAAAGCATAAAAATGTAACTGTAAAAAATGAGTTCTGAATTTCTTTTTTTTTTCAAAAAGTAGGAATACACAATTGGAAATTAATATAATCAGAATTTTCAGATTTGATTTGCTGAGTAGAACATTTATAAAGTTTATTTCCCCACAATTCTAAATTAGGTGTACTTTCTCAATTATTTGTTTTCTATAACTTTTAGCATTTGAATAATCATCTTGGATCTTCTCTTTTCTTTTCCTTCATTGACTTTATTATTTTTATTTATTTATTTATTATTTTTTATAATTTTTTTAGATTTTATTTGTTTATTTGAGAGAGAGAGACAGAGATAGCGAGCGAGGAGAGGGAGAAGCAGGCTCCCCAGTGAGCAGGGAGCCCAATGTGGGGCTCGATCCCAGGACCCTGGGATCATGCTCTGAGCAGAAAGCCGACGCTTAACCAGTGGAGCCACCCAGGCACCCACTTCATTGACTTTATTGTACTAGGCAGTCAACTATCAGGTTAGGCCCTCTTTTGTGATTTTCTTCCTGCTGCTTTTCTCTCTCTGGGTTAAAGTAGTGCTGTTTAGTCAGAACTCACAACAAACTGTGCTCAGCCGTTTCGGGTCCTTCACTTGTCACAAGGAATGGAGACTCGGACTTCCAAGAAAAGGCAGATTAGGAATATTTTTATTTGTAACAAAAATTCTCATTTTAGGGCGTCTGCTTTTTTCCCCATGTAACAACTCTAGAGATAAGTGGCCTCTGGCATTGCTTCCATGGCTTAAAATTTTCAGCACTGGATCTCCACTGTTCTCTTAGTTTGTTCTAATGGTTGCAGAATTTCAGGTTGCAGAATGGTTGCTGTAATTCCAGGTATCATCTTTGCCCTAAGTCAGGAAGAAAGGGGAGGAAGGAGTTCGGGCAGTTGTGACTGTCTCCTTTTTTAAAAAAATGTGAAATCTTTCTCAGGGCACTCCCCACCCCGCTCGCCATATTCCCAATCCCCCAACCTCCAGTAGTCTTCCACGAGATATTTATTATCCTGGACTTTATTACATGGCCATGCTAAGCTGCAGGAGGGGCTGAGAAAGTAGGCATTTACCTTGTCCAATTTATAGAGTGAAAGGCAGCAATGGAGAAGGAGATTGGTAATGAAGTCAGCCTCCAACTCTATCTGGTAGCAGAAGTAGGGGAAATAGAAATCTTTTTCTATATAACAGGGGGTAGGTGATGATGTCTTGGCCTTCCTGAGACAAAAAAAATTAGTATTATGTCCAGTGAAATTGGGGTAAAGTAGGGAAATAAGGTGAGAAAGGGAGATAGTAGACAAGTTTGAAAGCCTGGCCACAGTTAAGGCTTTATTTATTTGGTAATGTGCTTAACCAAAATGTGTAGCTATCTGGAAAAGTTAAATCTAATTTTGGTGGACTATTATATTTTAGCACTCTTTGAGTCAAGATTAATGGATTTAGTGCTTAAGTGTGAATTCAGCATAGCTACGAATAGTTTCCTCTGTCAACCTAAGTAGTAAGATACCCCAGGTGATTGTAGTAGCACAATTTTTCCTATTTTTCCAATGACATAGCTCAGGAGTCAGGAAGCTACTGCCAGGGGCCAAATCCAGTAGGGTGCCAGCTACATCCAGCCGCGCCCATTCATTCATGTGTTACCTGTGGCAGCTTTTGCACTGCAGTTGCGAGCTGAGCAGTTGCAACAAAGACCCTGTGGCCTGCTTAGCCTAAAATATTTACTTCTGGCTCTCTACAGAAAAGTTTACTGACCCCTGATTTGTCTTATACACTAAAAAGGAAAGGAAAAGGCATGTCAATAAAGTCAAAGACTTAGACATAGGTCACAGTTGGAAGTATTTTACATACAATATGAAAGGATTTGACTTGAGCATTAATTATCATTGTGAATGAAGATTGGTGTAAATGTGAGACCATTATCAAAAATTGAAATGGTCTAGTTAATATAATTCACTTAAGATTTTTTTGAATCACCAAAAGATAGGTGGTATTTGTGGAACTGTGGAAGAAAGGAGAGAAGAAGATATCACCTAAAAACAGTGACACCCATGGTTTTTATTCCAAGTAGATTACTCAGGTACAAATCTCCTTTACTGGCATAAACCTGTCAAAGGTTAATATAGATGATTTTACAGTACATAAAACCTTATAAAACTTAGAAACATAAAACAAGGTTATAATTTAAAACAATATAATTTTAACTACAGATACATTTACCTATCATACATGAATGATTCAGACTCTTTCATATACATGAAATCAGATAATTTTAGATCATTTTACAGTCTGTTTCTGTGTGAGGAACTATATGAATTCTGATTTTTGGAATTTTAAAGATGTGTTATACTAAATTTATGGGTTTTTTGTTTTAAAAGTTCTAATAACTTGATTTATTGCACTATACAAACACAGACCAGTCCCTTGGTGAAAAAGAGAAAAGATATTGTACGTGTTTGCATTTGGACCAGGCTTTTGAAGATTTGTTCTTAACAGTGAATAGAGAATTTATTAGTAAAACATAAAAATTCTTGTAATTTTCAGTCTTTGAACAGTGCTTATTTCCTGAGAACTTAACTATGTGAATGAATAAACTATTAACCAAGTCAAGCAGTCTGATGAACCTGGTGGATTTTTGTCTACCTAAATGAGTACGAAAGGAGAGATAAATGTGAAACTTAAAGAGAAATATGTCCAATAGGAATCGTTCTGAAGCATATTAGCGGGTAATAGTTTAAGACACAGAGAATGTAACCATTAGAAAAGTTGATTAATATTTGAGCTAATTGTATTTTCAGAACATATGTCTCAGGTCAGGATGATATCAAAAGCTTACAGAAGGAAAGTAAAGTCTGATGTTTGCTGTTGTAACTGGCAGAACAAGGGAAGTGATAGAGAAGAAAGTACAGTGGCTTTAGAGACAAAATCCTGTTTTCATGCTGGTAAGCTGTCTAACCTTGAAAAGCTACTGTCTAACCTTGAAAAACTAATGAATGTAGTTCTGAGTCTCTGTTTTCTTCTACAGTATGTGGATAGCTAATAATGCCTTCTTATTTCCTTGCCTTTCTTCATTGGGGCTCTGATGGCTTTCCTCAGGTTATACAAGTGCCTAGGCAGTTTCGAGGCTTACCGGGAGAGTGAAAGTGATCGGCTCTCTGCTTTATCTTCTAATTTCTGTGCAAGAGTAACTTCTCTACACTGCTTACACCTATTGGGTCCTCATTGAAAGGAAACTAGGTCTGACTTTCTTCTCCCAGAAACTGGACTGACAAATTTTTTTCTCTTCCTGGTCTGTTGCCATTTTTTCTCTGATTGAGACTTAGTAAATTGAAGAGGTCTTTAGAGGTGCTGATAGCTCAGATCCTTGATCCCATTGCCTAGGTGGTCATTTTAGAAACCTTGCTTTAGGAAGAAAGAATTTTAAAGAAACTAAACTTAACCTTTTTGAGGAATGAAAGGTCTCAGGATGTATGTACTGGAAATAGACTAGAGAAAGTTCACAAGAGTTTTATCTAATTATGTAAAAAGAAATCACTGGTTTGAATAACAGAGATGTTCAAACCTTCCTATTTAACTATACATCTCTACTACAGGAGTCAGACTAGCATGATCTGCTGTTGGACTTTTGCCAAGGATAGAAACCACATTGTAGGAGTCTCTGTCATAAATCTGGGTGCAGTGCTGTTGGGTGGGTAGGAAGGGTGGGGAAGGATAGTTGAAATAAGTTTCAAAAGAAAGGTTAAATTTTTCCTTCCTAATTAATTTTTCTGGCCCATCATAAGAGAAGGCAGGAAACCCTCTAGTTTTGGAAATAGTTTTGGGAGAATTAAAATTCTAATCTTCTTAAAATGAAGATTAGCAGAGGAGAGGGTGTTTTGGTGTTTGACAATGTGGTATACAAATGTAACAAAGTATGTTGCCAAGCACTTATCAGCTGTGATGAATCTTGTCCTTTTTGTTTTCAATAAATACTGGGTTTTTGTTGTTTATGTTTATAAATTGAATTCTGTGGTGACAGAATATATTTCGTATTCTGGGAT